GGATTTGATCAAATAAATCATTCTTTGATTTGAATTTGATTGAATCAAATCAAATATTCAAATATCAAATCGAATTGTGGAACCCTACCACCAAGTTTTAGTGAAAATTACGATAAAGATATCAACTATTTTATCAATGAATTTAGAAGGTATTTAACCACTTCTGGGAATAATTTGGCAAATAATGCAGATAAGATCAACGCACTAGGCTTTTTTAAGTTATGCTTAAAAGGTAAAACAGGTGAATAGCTTGAAAGAGAGATAGCAGGTAAAAATTATGAATTATCTAATATTATTTCTGCTGTAAATCTTACTTTGATACAATTACAAGGTAATAGACAAGGATGAATTGTAGGACATTTATCACCTACAGCATCAGCTGAACTTAATGCACAACTTGTGGCAGCTGATGCTGGTGCCAGTGCTTTAATGATTTCTGGATATACAATTTTCAATGAAGATTGGATGCTAGCAGGAGGTAAGCCAACATCTAAAGTTGTGTGTGCATTAAATACAAATTTGGCAAATAGAACAGTTGTATTAGCCGACATCATCTTTGGATAATTAATTGATTACTTTAAAGGAAATTATCCTACAGTTAGATAATAGTATAATCAAGCATTATTTGGTATAACAGTATAAGAAAGCGATTCTGTGAGTTCTTATTATACTAAACTCAAGAAGATTGCAAGACATGTTAATATAGGAGATGATGAATTTCGCCATAGATTTCTTGAGGGACTTTCTCCAGAAAATCAAATAGAAGTTCACCGTATGGGGCTTAATAAACCTATTGATAAAATCTTTTTATCTTTAGAAGAAATTGAGAGATATAAAGCTGAATTACTCTCTGATGCCAATCCAATTTTACAATTCTAGCAATACATATAATCTCAATCATATCCATCGGTTGGGATTAAGAAACTAAATTCTCAAATTGCATCTCTACAAGTGCAAACAAACCAGGTATGTTCTCAGAATATTCAGAAGCCTTTAGAAAAAAAGGAGTTAGAATTTTTATATATGCTTGCAGAATGTTTAGACGCATCTCTAAGTTTGCTTAAAACATATAATAGTTCAGTTCTCAATAGTTATATTAATAAGGAATTAAAAAGAAGGTTAGAAACTAACGATGCCTTTCATATTAAGGCTAAGCTTTTCAAAAACTCACCTTTTTTAGATCCTCAAATTTTCACAGTCAAGAAATCATCTCAGCGTAAAAGTGGCCATAAATCTACTCGCAAGTCTTCTAAATCAAAGAAAAAGAAATCAAAAAATAAGCTTAAGAAGAAAAAATCTAAAAGTGGTCGAGTCTATATAGCTAAAGTAGACAATTGATCAGATTCAGATTCTTCTGATGATACTTCTTCATCAAAATCTGAGGATAGCTCTTCTAGCTCTGAAAGTTCTTTTTCTGAATCAGAGTCTGAGGCTGATGCTGATGCTGAAATTAATGTTAATATATCTTGGGTAAAAAAAAAGTGAAGAAAGAGCATAATACTATTACCTTTTCACAGAAAAAGAAATCAAAAACTCATAAGTCTCATAAGGTAATAGATATAGAAATACTTCCTTTAGCATCAGTTCTTATTTTCAAGAAGGAAAAGCATACAGTGAACTCTTGATATAATGAATTCTAGGATCTGGATATCATCTTTGTTATAAGCTTATAACAATTTTTTTAAAGAATTTAATTGGCTAGTTCACTATAGTAAGGTAATTTTAATATATTTGATTTAAAAATTCGCTATATCAAGGGTTCGTTATATCAAGGTTTGACTGTAATTTAAAGACCCTGACACAGGATGAATGATCCCGCTTAGAAAAAATTATTGAAAAGATTATTGAGAAGGTGCTTAATGAAAAGTTTAGCGCTATTACAACCCTTCATCACCTGCAATATGATGATTCTAAAATACTGGTTGATTCTGAAGATGATGAGTTCATTGATAGTCTTATGAAGATAGACTTTGTTCAAAGAAAAGAACCTGCCACAGATATTGCAATGGTAAAATGTAAAATCAAACGCTTAGTAATCCCAGGTGCTGTGGTTGATCCTGAAGCTAATTTTCCGATCATGTCTCAGAATATCTTTAAGCGATCAAAGCTAGAAATTGATACAAAAGAAAAACATGATCTTAGAGGCATTGCTACTACTCTCACAGAATCCCTCAGAATTGTCAGAAATATTCCAGTAAATTTCGCATCTGAATGTATTATATATGCTGATTTTGCTGTAGTTAAATATCCTAAGCCAATGTTAATCTTACCCAACACACTTTTCGATAAATATAATTATGATCTACTTGCATCAAAGCAGGAGTTGAAACTAGAATGTAATAGTAATGAATTTTTATTTCAATCAATATACATAAGGTCAAGAATAAGCTTGAAATGAATTGTGCGAACATTACTCCTGAATGCGATACTTTCTCAACTCCAGATAGAATTTCGCAAGACTTAAGTGTAGATGATATATTAAAAAAAAGTAAGTTATGAAAGTATGGCAACTCATATGGAAGAGCTTGAAAAGAAGCTTTCCAATGCTATCAAGTTCAATACAGAAGTCATTGAGTTTTGCGAAAGTCTTCTTAGGGAATAGGCGAGTTATTTTCAGGATAACACTTCTTTTTTTTATCTATAATTTTTGTACTTTTTTCAGCCATTTTCTCATAGGATGCATCCAAATTTACACTATTTATATCCTTCTCTGAAGCCTGGATTGGCTGAATCTAAATACTAGATAGTTCAGAAATCTGAACAGACTTCAATTTCTTTCTTCCAGTCTTTTTCGCCTTATCGCCTAAAATAACACTTCCTTTTGAAACCAAATCGGTAGATTTACTAGGCTCTATCTTACCATCATGTATTTGTTTTTCCAATTCTGCAAATAGAAAAACATCTTGGTCTTGGATCTCTAGCTCAGTCTGTTCACCCATAACATTTATATAGAAAGCAAAGCTGTTGTCATATGAATTGGTTGATTCCACATAACCCTATTTTTTTTTCACCTCTCCAGATCTGATAAATACATTTTTATGATGTGCGATATTTATCTGTTAAATCCTTTAAAACTTCATTTTAAGGTTTTTTCAGCACATTGCATAATAAAATTGTAATCAGTTGGTGAAAAAGAAAAGGCATCACATCTTATATATCGTCTAAACATAGTAGCAATATTTTTTTATATTTTTTATATCTAATAATATTCTAAAATAATTTATTAAATAAGATATACAGGAAAAATGTATTATTCTGAATATATAGGATATACAAGATATATAGTCAACTCTTTCTACAATGAATTTTGATATAACAAATTTTACAATACAACAGATTTTCAGTGTCAGACAGATTTTTAAATATAAAAAAACCCTTA